ATTCCCCGGCCTTACTTTTTGCTATTTACTCTCAATCTGGGTTTGGCCAAAGTATTCCATCTAGATTTTCTAAAGCCAGAGGCCAGGCTTAAAACAGTAAGTCAAACTCCAAGTATCTCCAGTGATTACAGTCATGATCTGATTTAACAAGTGATTTGTTGTGCAGCTGTAATGAACAATATTAAGTCAGCAAAGACAAATGCCGAATAAGAAATGCTGATGCATAACTTCCCCAGCACTACACTTTGGTAGTTATCCATTCAGTCACGAGTGAACAAAGAAGGGCAGAGGGCTTATAGCCTTATAGTACAGTTTTTTTATTTCATATTTCTGTATAGTTTTTTTATTTCATATTCTGTATAGTTTTTCATATTTATATCCTGTTCATATCCTGTACATAGCTTGTACTCACTACAGCCTGTACATACATATAGTTATAGCATATTCATAACATACTTCATACCGTGTACATTATAACATACCATAATAGATCCATTTCTGTAATATACTCACATATCTATATTATTGCTAATATATATTTGTAATATATCTATATCATGGCTAAAGCACTTCTGGATGGATGCAAACTGCATTTTGTTGCCTTGTACCTGTGACATGTGCAATGACAATAAAGTTGAATTCTATTCTATACTATCATAAACAAAATGTATCCCCTTACAGGAAATTCCATCGCCACTTAACTCAAGCACAATAGCCCTTTTTAATGCTCATAAATGGCAAATACATGTTTAGTGGGTGGAGCTCAGTTGATGACAGAAAGTGAATGTTTTCCAGTTTCATATCTTGTGGGAAAACCCAGCAAATGTACTGAAGACAATTCACTGACGTACCAAATACAGCAGGAGGCAAGGCCATAGCATGTAACTGTAAAAGACGTAGGCTATGGACTTTCCACACACTACCTCTGTTCTGAAGAAGTAACAGTGAGGGAACAAATTGTGGACTTTTAGATCCCCTGAGAGAAATCCTCTATAACCACATAGTCACATATCACATTGTTCAGTCTACTGAAAGTGGCAGCTTTGCAGTTGCTTTGCTAACTACATCTCTAACTGTTCCTTTATGTGTGTTTAAGATCTTCTATCTTAAAAATGCACTCAAATTCTGAATGGTTTTGTTCACTTTAATCTGCTTATTTAAGCGTTGGAACTAACATTATTCCTCATCGCTAACATTAAGATATCACAATGCTCTTTGTCTAAAAAGTGTTACCTTTCTCATGAAGTCCCAGACTGAGGCTGAGAAAAGGCAACAATGGCTTACACTCCAAATTGGTCTACAAACACAGATGGAAATCTTACAAGCAAGCACGACATGGTCCCAAGTCTGTAACTGACAGACTGTTGTGACTATGCTGGACAGCTTTTTCCTTTGGGTCATGCTGCTAAAGCAAGCCACCATCAGTTCGTTCTTTCTACAGGAAACCAACAACCAACTTGATTTGGTTCAAATGCAGTGATCCGAGTGTAAAACAGAATCTGCCTACTTCACAATGCACTTTATTCCTGAAAAAAACTATCATGCAACAAATAAACCTACAAAGGGATTGGAAGCACCACTTTGCAAGGAAACTGGACATAAACTGATGATAAATGGGCAGAAAACCCCCCAAATACTCATATAATACTGATACCATATGTATGTCCATGTTTTTCTCTTGTAGATAAAAAAAGCTGACCAACTGTCAAAGTGACAACAACAAAGTTTACATAAATTGAAAGTGAGTGTGTAAAAATTTGTCTTACACCTCCCAATTCAACTCCATGATTCAAGCTGCTGTAGGACAAACATGTTTTAATCAGCCAACATATCAAGAACATTAAATTTAGACTGCACCCCATGAATGCTGCGGCCAGCTGGCATGTTTCTGTAACAGTTTGGACCGGCTCTGCCCCGCAGTTTCTCCCTATCTATGGAAAGCTATCAATCCATTGTTTACCTCAGCTGTCAATGCTGGTTGAAAAGCATCTACCCTTATTTAATCTAAACGAGGCTGTAAAACTTTGTGAAAAAATAAGGATACAGGTCAGTGTTTCAAAGAAGCTCACTTCTATCTGATGACAGCCATACCGCCGTATTGTGGTTTTTGCCACAATAGCCGCTGGTAGTCAAACTATCCCTGAAGTAACTTTGTTGGAGTCTCTGGAGAGAATAAACTTCCATGAGATAGGAAAGTGTGATTTTTAGGGTATCGTGAGGGAACATGGTGACTTCCACAAACCACAAACCTACTCCTGTGTATTTTAAATTTATATTAATGATTTTTTTAATTGACTGATGTAAGTTTTTACGTTTAGGAGAACGCATCAATTAGTTGGAAGACATAATTGTTCACTAAAGTATGTATATTGATGAGTACAATTTTTTTTTCTATTAAATAACCTCAAAAATGACTAACTCCACTGTTAAGGGGTGGGTTGTTTTTTGTTGACTTGTTCTCTCACAATAACACAAAGTGGGTAAAAGGCAGACATACAGATTTCTATGCAACCAGATTCAGCCCAAAAATCGGATCTGCAGCAATACCTCTAACTTTGCTGAAGTGGTGACAACAGCTATAACTTTGTCATAAGAACAAGCCAAGACACATGACAATGCCTCTAGTTCCAAACCCACTTAATAACTGCACATTCAGCATACAGCCCAAAAGTGACCAACGCTTTAATCACCGGGAGTCCTTCTGGGAAACGTTGACAAAGAAGGTTTTGCAAAGGTTAACAAAACAAGAAAATTACAACTTTTCGCAAACTAACCTCACTCCTGGAATGGCTTCCATCGAAATTACAAAACAAATGTCTGGAGGTGGATTTTTCCCTCTAAACCATAACTCCTTCAGTTGAGCTTCTCCTTGGCCGGTAATAAAAGGCAATGGCTGTATGGTGTGAAGCTTCCAGGTGTGAATGTGAAGCAGGGTGCTGCTCTGGCATGCACGCTCAGCAAACCTTCACTGGCTGAAAAATAAAGGGTGAACAAATTGGACTAAAGCAGTCCTGAGCTCCTGCCTTACGCCTACATAAGGGCAGCGCTGAGAATAGGGGGCCATCATAATTAATTATGTTTATAGTGACTAATTAAATCTGATTGATGCAGGCATGAAAACTATGACAGTGGACTGAAAGGGAAGAGTAAAATGTGATTACTTACAACTCCACTGCCACACATTACATCAAAAGCATTTTAATTTTTGTTTTAATGAGGCTTGATCTAACCTGCACAGATCAGCCTTGGCTATCAGCATTTTTATATACAGATAGACAGAGAGATAGATTTCAACACTAGCCACCACATAAAGTGGAATATAATGCCTTAAAATTGCAAAATATTACTATGTTTATTAATTGTGTAAACTGCTCGACAATATAATTACACTTAATTAATTGTGCAGTCCTGTTCTGTACGAGGACAATTATGATCACAAACGGATTATTGGATTGGGAGCACTCTGTACAATTTGTTCTGTAAAAAACAGTCTCATTATATCGGGTCTCTGTTACCGAGTGCATTGTATATAGGTTAGTTTTCTCCTACCTTTTCTTTTTTAATCGATAAAGCTTTGGCAATAAGAAAGTTCGTTTGTGCCTTGCTATTGTACCTGGACACGTTATTGTGGCTTGACAGCTTGTGTCGATGTAAAGAAATCAATATGCATTGAATAAGTGCAATTAAAATTCAACTGTAGAGGCTCCGAGTGATATTTACTCAGCGCAGTTTGGGTCCTATACAGGATTTGTTTACACGCATTACTTCTACTTTAATCAGAACACAACGATCTTACTGGGAAATGTGGGTCGTTGTCTTTACAAAACAGTGTTTTGATAGCGAAGAAAGTCTAAAAATGACTGTTTCTGATTCTATGGCACTAAAAATGCACGATCTGCTCCGCTAACATCTGCACTTCCCATGGCCTTGAGCAAGCAATTGAACTGACAAATGTCCCAGTGGAGCATCTCAGCGACCAATGGTGAGATGTCTGTGGCTGTTTCCAGGTGTAAATATGTGCAGTCGTATGAATAATAAGCAGCTGCCAAGACAAAGCATGTCTGCTGAAAAAATAAATAAATAAAATCTCCCCACAGTATTCGAAGACAAAAAGAATAAAAATAAAGCAGCGAACGCATCGAGTGACAGTGTGCACAATTGCTGATAATGACAATAATATGCTGGCGATGCTGATAAAAGTTTCAACATTTTAAAAGCAGAACTTTTTTTTTCATGCAAGCTGGTTTCCATTCACACTGCTTCATTGACATGTCATGTCACACAGGGATATGGTACCAGGCACCTTTTGCTCCTCACAGGTCAGAGGTCACAATAACTTCCAAGAAACAGAAAAGGAGAGTTAACTCACACTACTTGACCCTTGCCCTGTATTCCCCATGTGCTCCACTATGTGCTTTGACTCCACAAGAAAAAAAGAGTGTGTGACTGCGTGTGTGTTTCAATCATCTGCAACTTTGAAAATTGTTTTCCAGCACCAAAAATAAAGCAAAAAAATATATATATACTCAGGTTTATGCAAACTAACCACATGCTGCTGCTAATACCAAAACACCAACATCAGATTACCGCAGTCATTTTGCTGCCAGATAATAAACCCGAGCAACCACGTGAACACGGGCTTTTGATATCAATATCAATCACTGCCTAATCATATTCAGTTTCCTGGTTTGGGGAGGTTAAAGGTGGCCTGTTAGCAAGTAGCAGGCTAAAGCTAAGGCTAACACTGGCAGAAGTAAAAACAGTTCACACATGCACACAACTCACAAACAAGGCTCCAAATCACGTGTAATAAACGCCAGCCTTGGGTGGCCTTTAGTTTGCAGCCGTTTGGGCTAGAAATCCTGTATTTGCCGAAACTCGTGAGCAGACAGGCATCACAATGTGGCTATAGTCGTAGCCTCCCTTGAGCACGACTAGAGCAGAAACTTCAAAACCGAGATATCATTTATACACATTAATTATACATCAATTAATCTCACATGAAAGTCTCGCAGAGTCTCGCTGGCGGACGCCTCGGAGAGAAACAGCCCGCCGCCACCAGCGGTGCAGCAGGGCAGTCAGAGCGGGCAGAGAGCTCTCGGTGCCCCGCCGTGTGCCAGCCTCGATGCCCGGTAGAATTTGGGAGTCCTCAACTGGCCCGGGCCGGTGTGTGCGTGCATTCAGCGGAGGGAGGGGGCGAGGGAGGGGGCGGCAGCGGAAAATGGACAAAAAAAGGAGAATGAGAGAGCTCCTCTTTTTTATTTTTGAATGTCAATGATGGTTTTTAACTGCCCTCAACACACACGTTTATCGTCTGGGGGACCAGGGGTACGAAATATGGCACAAAAATAGTCGGGGGCGGGGGGTAAAATATTCAGCAGTTCCCGTCTCCCCTCCACTCCGTGCCAGCGCGGTGTGATGTCCGTTAAGACCGAGTTCCCTCCTCCTCCTCCGGCCGAATGGCAGCTACCAACATGGGACAGACACGCGTTGTTCCCCCTCCAAAATGTCGCTTATACTATATCACAGCGAATAAATGCTTTATTGCATCTCCACCAAAAAGCGGACTCGGGAACCACGCGGGGCTATCTTCACTCTGAGGAACTAAGATTCTTAAGGTATTTTTCTAAAGGAGAAGCGGGGGGGTCTACAGCGGAGGGCGATCCTGGCACTCCATCTTTAGCCGACATCAACAGGTCATCCCGGGACACAAATGCGCTGCAACTGTGGGCGAGACAGACGGATGGATCCGGCATGGCGAGAGAGGAGAGGAGAGGAGGGGAAAGGAAAGTAGGGGGCTGGCTGTAAAATCTTAACCCATTTACCGACAGCAGCCTATGCCATGAGATTACACAAATAAGCAACTACCAGCGTCGTTCAAATGCAGCAATGTCTAAAAGGAAGAGGGGAATAAATGCACGCCTCGCTCAAACCTCAGGTAGTTTCTGAGAAAGTTCAGGAATGCAAGAGAAAGAGAAGCATAGGTCTCACGAGAAGACAGTCGCCCAGGGGTAGCCCGAGGCGACGAGTGAGTGGTGCCGGTGTGAAGTGGTTAAAGTTTTGGTCTGTCCCCAAGCACCCATCCCCCATAGGAGCCAGCACAACTTTACCACCCCACTCCCCTAAAAAACAATAGCCTAACCTCCACTTCAACAAAACGCCGAAGTCCCATACACCACCCCTCCATCTAAATTCACCCACAGAAATGTAAGCATATACAAACACGCAGTGGTGGGCACGGGCAACTAGCAAACCCGGTCCCCCAACCACCCTCCCCAACGGGCCGAGTCCGAACCGTTACACACGGTGACCCGCCGAGCTTCCACTCACCCCTCGGCTGTGTTCGCTGGAAAGTGTTTCAATGGAGGAGCAAAGCAGAAGTGGTCTAGTGTCTCCCTCCGCCTCACTACAGACACTCATTCACTGTGACTGTACGCCGTGAACCAGCAGCGGAGCACGCATACACATACATTACTTTGCGAGCGCGCAGGATGTCGGGCGTGCACGCACGCACACACACGTGCCAGCGAGAAGAGCGCGGAGCTATCGAGGAGGACGCAGAGGAGCAGAGCGGGGATTTTTTTTGAAACTCTCCCAGGGGTTGCAGACAGATCGCAGAACTACCGATGGACAGACAGACACACACACAGAGGCTGTATGCACTATTTTATTGGGCACTTTGTTTACTGTGTGCTATATTGTCAGCAGGTCACAGGTGCGTAATCTAAAATGACTAGCCCACCTATTGATGTATTATTAGTGTCTTTACATCAAAAAAAGTCAGAGTTGCATGATGTCATAACTTCAAACCAAAGCAAAAATAAAAAAGTTTACCTCAGTGGTAATCAAAATAAACCTCACCAAATCTTTAATTTGTCTCCAAAGCCTTTAAAAACAAGTTAAGGGGTAAATTATAGGCTCGCCCACACACTCACTCTGTTTTCATTCAGTGCAGACAATGCGGAGCAAAGTTTACATTTTTCTGCATTTAAAGATATAGCGATTTTTTTTTCATGTCAAAATGCATAGATGTTTTTTCATCGCTTTTATTCGTTTTATACGAGGCTAAACTGTTTTGTTTTTTCGTTTTGAAAGATGGTTAAATAAGACAGAAATAATCTAGAAAGCCGGTAGAAATGCATAGAAATACAGAAATAGTCACACGGGTAATGTAAATACAGATGTAGCCCAACAGAAATAAAACTGGCGGTAATCAGATTACATCCGAAGGAATAACGGATCACGGGTTCGAGCCCACGCGCCGCTGCGGGCAGGTAGACTGCCAGCGTCCCCAGCCGACCCGACCGTCTGAGCCCCACCCACCAGTCCACCCACTCAACCCCACTCACTCACCGGCGTGTCTTTGGTGCTGGAACCAATTCCCCTCCGATGCCCGACACCGCACGGACGTGAAGCCTACCGGGCCGGCGGTTCGATCCCCGTTGTCTGATCTGTACTGAGAGTGCGTCTAGACTCCGGGCAGGTGAGCCCTCCGGGGCCTCCAGGCGCTGCGCACAGTGAATACTAAACAGGATGAGACTGCATTCAGGCACGGCACTGCGCTCCCCGCTCTCTCTCCCTGTCATGCCAAATACTATTAACTCTATAATTCTCCTGTGTCAGATGTATAGCGCCACGCTCTCTGGGCATTCATTGTCACAGCGCCCCCATCCAGATGTTCAGGCTCGTGTGCGTACAGTAGAAGCAGAACCCTCTATTTTTTATTTTTCCTCTCATTTACAGTCAACCATGTCCCATTTTGTGGAAGCTGGCTGCAAACCGCTCAATAAGCAGATGGTAGATATTTGATAGTGAATACGAGAAAGCCTGCTGTATATGCAATATATTGCTTTTCAGTGTAACTCATTCGCTCTACTGTTCAAGTTGTAACCTATAAAATATTTGTAGCCAGGTGAAATTCCAAACAGCACAGAAAACAAAAACCATCTTTAGGTAATCAGGTATAACTTACACTTCACCAGGAGAGCTGGAGCTCTGTTTCAGGAATAAAATGGTAACCATTGCTGTACTTATTTTATTTTAATTTCAGGTTGTTGTGTCCCCCGTCCCCCCAAATTGCTTACATTAAAACACAGCGTGAGATCTGTGCCAAAAGCGCACATGCCCTCTCTGCATGTCAGCTAAAGGACAATCTCAGGATTGAGTTTGACAGTGTGTTCATTTAGACTGATGTAACAGGGAAATAAAGGAAATGTTCTTCTACCACACAATATTAAAATAATACAGGTTAACCCAAAATACAAGCTGAATCTAATCTGAGACACAAGAACCAATTTTACTGTATATAAATAAATAAGATTGTGGGAATTGTATCAGATATTTATATATGGCATAGATGTTGCCCGAGGCAGTGTTTATGCAAAGTTTCATCAAGATTGGTCCACTTGTCTAGGATGCAATAGTGAACACACAAACATACATATACTACAATCATCATTATCATAATTATTTATATTATTTATATTATTTTCATTATCATCATTATTAGTAGTAGTATTAGTAGGATTGTTGTACAATGTATTACAATGCAAAATGTGCAATACTGTAATAATTCAGTTCAGCTATTTTATTGTTAGCACACGCAGAAGACTTGTTAATGTAAAAAAATATAGTGAGAGAAACTGTACTTAAACCAGTAATGGCTTTAGCAGTTGTTACAGTATTCATATAGCTACAAGCTACAACTGTGGTTTCCCTTCACCAGTGTGTGAATGTGAGAGTGAATGAATAGTGGTATTGTAAAGCACTTCGAGGGGTCCCGAAAAGCGCTATATAAATGCAATCCATTATTATTATTATTATCATATAGAATGCTGTAGTGTACATTTCCATACATCTTATGCTTCAGTAGAGCTGTAGGTGTAGCAGAGCACCTTGTTGAAACCTGAAAAAAACATGCAAGTATTTTATCAAAATAATCTTGGCCTCAATGCAGGCTCGTAGTAAGACTCATAAAAGTTGCAATCAGCTGATTTTGAAGGCATTTTCTGTGGCACACATTCAACAACGTGTGGAAACATTCCTCTGAGATTTTGGTCCATATTTGACATGACAGCATCACACAGTTGCTGCAGATTTGATAGCTGCACATTCATCATGTCAGCCTCCCATTCCACCAATCCTGAAAGTTGTCTACTGGATTGGGATCTGGTGACTGTGGACACTACTTGAGTACAGTGACGGATCTGAAGGATGGATCCATGCAAAGATGCCTCACACCAGACAGCATTTTTCCAATCTTCGCTTATCTCATTTTTTTTGAGCCCCTGTCAACTGTAACCTCAGTTTCCTGTTCTTAGCTGACAGCAGTACAGTCTGCTGCTGCTGTAGTGCACCTTCTTCAAGGTTTGACATGTTGTGCATTCAGAGATGCTCTTCTGCATACCTTGGTTTTAACAAGTGGTTATTTCATTGCTGTTGCCTTCAGCTTGAAGCAGTCTGGCAATTCTCCTTTGACCTCTGACATCAACAAGGCATTTTCACCCAGAGAACTGGGGCTCACTAGATATTTTGGACATCAAACGTGAGCAGGCTATCTTGACCATATCTACCGGTGTGAATGCACTGAGCTGATGTCATGGGATTGACTGATTCAAAAACTGAATTTACAAGTAGATGAAGAGGTGTAGCTGATAAAGTGTCCAGTGAGTTTATGAATCACAATGTTTTCAGCATGTTTTATGCTTTTAAATAATGAGTACAAAGTGATAGGATTTCTGCAGTGGCAATAAAAGATAATCGAATAAAGGACAAGCATCTGAAATAGGACATAACTGTCTAGGAAGTCGGGCTTATTGTAGGGGAGATCATGCTTGCTAGGAACTGCTGGGTTCTAATGTTCGCCACATTATCTGAATAAAAATGTCGTTTTTATCTACTGGAATATTAACAGACCCGCGTTTGCTGTGTGGTAATTAGATTGCCACAGAAGGACAAAACAGAGACAGTGACACAGTGACCCTCTTCTGGACTGCACTGCTGATATTGTGCAAAAAGCCCTTGTAGTTGGTGCGGCTACAGCTTTCCAGCATTGTTCTCTATAATAAAAATAAGACAGGAAATACATACTCACAGTACCCTGGGTGTGACAGCATTGTCATCTGCAAGAAAATGGCAAGAGCAGCACAAATGCAAGCTTTTAATTGTCTCATCATTGTCACGCAATAACGACCTACATTTCATTAACCGCTCCTGTACAACGCGTACAGCCGCACGGCACTGACCCGAGCTGACCTTATTCTCTCTAAGGCAGTTTTTATCTCCTCACATCATAGGTCTGAGTTAATCCATAGGCTATGTTTAGCCTTTTCATCAGAATGCATCACTAACTTCGGGCACGGTGAGATTAAATTAGATTATTCATGATGTGTTTTCCAGTTTCCTCGCATGTTCACTGCGGGGGAAAGTAGGCCAGTTTGCGCAGCGGCAGAGCGATAGACCCTCTCTCTCATGTGTCCTCACGTTACACTGTTTCCCTTACATTACATGGCTGTAGGCGGAGGTTAGGGGAGGGGGCGGGGAGCAAGCCTTTTTAGCGCTCCATTTTCTGCCCGCGCGGGCCTCCGTAGAGTCGCTCGCTTCAAACATGGCAGCTTCCATGTGTTAACGTGAGAGCGAACCGCAAGCGGTGTGTAACAGAGAGTAAACAGCTAGCACAGGGGTGCCCGTTGCTTTGGAAACAAAATAATAAAACTTCTGCGAAAACAGGAGAGCCAGTGTCCACGCAGAGGAGGTGACACGGGTAAAAGCACTTAACCTTTGCTTATTTAGCCTAGCTAGTCAACATGCTAATTAGTTTGCGGCGATAATGTATGTTGTATGCAGAAACGTTACCGTAGTAACATCCGTTTCTGCTCCGTTTCAACAGAGCAGAGATTTACTCACTGTTATTTTATTGAACGACTGAACTGTAGAAGCTACAAAGGTGAGTTAAAAGTACATTTTAGAGGATATTTCATATTCAAGTGCTGAAGGAGTCTTAATCCATCAGTGACTGGGCGAACCTGTACTCTGCAGCAGCCATTTAAAACTTCTTTGGGGACTCAAAGGATACCATTAACGTTTTGATGAGCACGATAAACTAGTGTGCTAAAATGCATATGAATGTGTTCATTCACACTCCAGTGAAAGGAAAGGCTCGGGTATGTGGCTTTTTGTCACATCACAAATGAAATATGAGTTTCCAAGTTCGGTCAGAAAACCTATTTACCGTTTAAAGCTTTTCTAAGAACACTTAAGAAAATTGCACCTCTCACTTTCATTTATTTTTATTAATCAAAAAAGTGATTAACAGCTGCTTAGCTGCTCATTCAAAGAAATCAGCTAGAGATCATCTGGTTAATGGTTAATGGCAGAACACCCATTGATTCTTCAAAAGCATGAACTCCAGACGAGTCAAGCTCTACTGATGTGGTATTGTCATGGTTGTAGTGTGTGCTGTCTCACACAAAATAACCCATATTTTTTGAGATCTGATGACTGCCAAGGCTGTAGTGTACCATTAAGAATTGCATGTAACGGCTCTTTATTGAAGGTGTGCGTGATTCAAGTCTGTGTTGAGGAAACTGTGAGGTTGTTCTTTTTTTAAGCCAACATATTACTTAAGACATTTTAAATGTGTGTTTCCTTGCAGCCATTGTGGCTTTATGCTGGTGCGGACAGCCCGGCTGTTCCCCTTCATCATCTCCCATCACCTGCATCCCTCTCGCACGCATTCAGCCGGACACGGATTTCGGTGGAGTGCAGCTGCTGCTAGCAGGGGAGTGAGATTCATGGAAACTGAAGTTCCTGCCTCTAACCCTCCAGCTGCATCTGCTGAATCTTCAGCAGATGGCACGGGCCAGTCCGCCACTATCTCTACAGGTGACCAGGAGAAGATGCCTTCTGTGGGACTGTTACCAGGAGAGACAGTGGTTAAAGAGGGAAAGGCAGCCATCTTGTTCCCCAGTGCCAATGAGGTGTTTTATAACCCAGTGCAGGAGTTCAACAGAGATTTAACGTGAGTATGAACTTCGCCTTTATTGCCACTTGCAAAGTATCCACAACTGTCTCCATGTTAAAAGAAAAATTGATGGAACAGTAACAGTCAAAGTGTGATTTAGATAAAATAAGGTGTCTAAATCCAGGTTTTTCCAGGCTCATTGAGATGTGATATAAGCATGTTTTGACTATGTCATTGACACTTTATGAAACATATTAAAGAGAGACAAGGCCCTACTTGTTGGACAAGCTAAACTCTGTAGGTATGTAATTAAGACTGATTTTTGTAGCTCTGATTAAATCTAATAATAATAATAATAATTGATTGGATTTATATAGCGCTTTTCAAGGCACCCAAAGCGCTTTACAATGCCACTATTCATTCACTCTCGCATTCACACACTGGTGGAAGCAGCTACAGTTGTAGCCACAGCTGCCCTGGGGCAGCCTGACAGAAGCGAGGCTGCCATATCGCGCCATCGGCCCCTCTCACCAACACCAGTAGGCGGTAGGGTAAAGTGTCTTGACACAACGACCAGGACACAGAGCGCGGGGATCAAACCGGCGACCTTCTGGTTACAGATGCGCTTCCCAACCCCCTGAGCTGCGGTCGCCCCTAGAATGCAGCTCTGTACCTACTCCTGTAGCCTGTGCGGTAGCCTTAAGTATACCCTCCTCACATTAACACTAAAGTGACTCAGTGAACTGTGACATGTGCGTTTAGTAGGAATATGTGGTGTAAATAGAGCGTTTTGTTTAGCACAAGGATATTACTTCTGTAAAACAAATTACAGCAGGTGGTAATTGTGTCTAGCATGCCCATTATACTAATAAAATAGTTTGTATTCCCCAAACATATGCACTGTGAACATATGCAGTTTCTTTATTTTCATGGCTCAGATGATCCATGCATTGACTCTGTCCTGAAGTCTCACTTCTTCCTGTGTTTCTGTTATAGTAACTCGTGTTTAATTAATTATCCAGAGCAACACAGACACAAACCAGTATGCAATCTCAAGTGCAAAAAGTTGGGACCCTGTGTAAAATGTAAATAAAAACACATTGCAGTGCATAAACTGAGACATTTTATTAAATTATTTGCTCATTTTGAATTTTATGGCAATTGCACGTCTTAAACGTTGGGCTGTGGGGAATAAAGGCTGGAAAAGTAAGTGATACTATAAAGGATCACTCGGACAAACATTTTTCAACTAATTAGGTTATTTGGCAACAGGTCAGTAACATGAAGGAGAATCAAAAAAGCATCTTAGAGAGACAGTTTGTCAGAAATAAAGTTGGCCACAGGTTCACCAATCTGAGAAAAATCAAAATCCCAAAATTCTATAAAATTACAGAAATCTCTGTGCGGACTGGACAAGGCCATAAATCATTACTGGATGCCCTCAGGCAGCACTGCATTAGAAACAGGCATGTTTTGTTTTAGGGGCCAAAGCCCATTTAAAATGGGCTGAGCCAAAGTGGAAAACTGTTCATAATGTGCAATTCTGTTTGGGAAAACGTGAACACTGCATCATTTAACATGGTAGTAGAAGAGTCCCGGTGGTGAAGTGGCCTGCCTCGGGGCAGGATTTCACTTTCATCAGACGGTGACGTCCCTGTGGCTTCATCCATCCTTTATGTACAGTAATAATCTGCTTTTCCTGTCATTTCATTAACAAAAGTGTGTTAATTAATAGAAAAAAGTCACAAAAACCCCTGAAATGCTGGTGACTTTCCCTGGTCAGGGAGAAGATTGTTAAAAATCGCTTCTACAGTGGCCTCAAAAGTATTTGCATTGTTAAACAATCAACAAACTTCCTGAGCTTTGTTGACCTTTCTTTTTTACAGGATGAATTTTTAAGAACTTGCCATTAAAACAAAAAACAAACAAAAAACGAACCATAACATATATTTTTTACTACTGGCCACATAGTGGCACAATCGAGACCTGCTCTTTGTTCTCAAGAAACCATCTAGATTCATTAAATGTGTCTTTTTGCAAGGTAGTTTTGAGAGACGAACACTTCAGAGCAACACTCAAGACTGAAAACCTAAAACCTTCAGCAGGACACGGCTGCTCTCTTTACAAAGAAAACTCATCACTCAGTTGCTGTTTGACAACCTTGTTTGAGCATCTTTGGAAAGATCGAGCCACAATAACAAGAAACTACAGAGCAGGATTTGTGATTTTTTTTTTCTCTCTCTCTAATTTTCTTATTGGTCTTTCATCTGTGTGGACACATCTCCCGTGTCACAGGAGATGTGTCTGAAGGAGAGAGAAAGTCCTGAGAGTTACTGCTCTGCCTGGACCCCGTTCTCATTTTTCTCTCACGTGTGCGTTTATAAGTAAACATTCCCTTTCTTCTTTCCAGATGTGCTGTGATCACAGAGTTTGCGAGAGAGCTGCTGGCTCAGCGAGGGGTGAAGGTGGTGGTGCCAGGTGAATCGGAGAGGGTGGTGGTCTCTCTGTCAGAGGAGACAAACGAGGCCGAGGCACAGACGGAGGAGAAAAACGGATCAGAGGAGCCAGCTGTAACGGCAGCTGCGGGGGAGAGATGTGAGGTATGTAAGAGTGATTTATTTATGTATTTTTTAGTGCAGTGGCACACCAACAGGCTTTTATTGCTATGTATGAATACAAATGCAGGATTTTAATGGTACATGTATCCAGCTTCTAGTTTAGAAGGTTTTGTTCATGCGTACGATCCAGAACCTGATTTATTCACGTGTGGAAGTTAAATTAAATACCATCTGAAGACTTTAGGATGATAATGAACATGAACAAGGCAGAACAAGTGGTGTACTTGTATTT